CATATAATCAATGTATAGAGACGACGGCACTCCATTATATGCTTGCAGAGGTTCGTAAAGTGTTCGCTATGCTTCTGCTATTTGACCCGGTCAACGATCCTGTTTAATTCTTTCAACGGCATTGAGACAAAATGTGTGATGATTTTCATTATCGTTCGGGCTCTCTAATTCTTCCTCCGATCGTTTTGCAATATTTGGTGCTCTTTGATTTTGACCGTATCTTGCACGAGTCTGGCAAAAACATTCGCATGTTCGGTCTTTATTATCCGACCTCTGATGGAGAAACGGTTGCCGACGACATAAACAGGCATTACGAGAACAGGACTGTGTCGTCGATTATAAATGACGAGTTGTCGTATGATCCGATTGAAATGCGAACTAGATTCGAGTCTAATTTTCGTCGTCTTCGGCCGCACCAACGAGCGCTCGTGCAAAGAGTTGTGAGGGCCGTGGAAGAGAAACAACCTTTTTATGCTTTTGTAGATGCGCCGGCGGGAACAGGAAAGACTTTTTGCATAGAAACAATTTTGGCGGGGATCAGGTCGCGTAATGGTATTGGACTCGCTGTGGCGTCCAGTGGGATAGCCGCAACTCTTTTGACCGGTGGTCGAACATTTCACTTGCGATCACGAGCACCTTTGAAACCTGATAACACGCGTCCCTTGAATATCACAAAACAGGGTGATCTTGCCGAACTTATCCGGCGTGCGGACTTGATCGTTTGGGAAGAGGCTCCGATGAGTAACAAGTTCTTCTTGGAAGCTCTTGACATTACGCTTCGAGATCTCTATAATTGTGACCTTTCGTTTGGAGGAAAAATTTTGCTTCTTTCTGGGGACTTTCGCCAGGTTTTGCCCGTTGTGAAGCATGGGTCTCGAGCGCAACAAATTGATGCCTATATCAAAATGTCTCCTTTGTGGAAATTCTTTGAGGTTCATTACTTGACCGAGAATATGCGGATCTTAAGCTTAGGGGATGATCCAATGGCTCGAATGTATGACGTGTTTTTGATGCGTATTGGGAATGAGAATCATATTCGTTTTGTTCCCAATGAACCTGCCGCGGTCAAACTGCCGCATGAGATTTGCATTGATAAACCTATTCGTGATTTGATTTCCTGGATGTTTGAGGATGTGTGTGAACACGTTGGGAATGCTGACTATTTTTACGCTCGATTGATTCTCTGCGCCACCAATGATGATGAGGGGTGTGTTAACGATATGGTTCTCAACGATTTCCCTGGCGAGGTGCGTGAAAGTTATAGTGTTGATTACCCTGCTTCAGATGATCACGAACTTGCTATCCAATAGGAGTTCTTAAATTCTCTCAATGAGTCTGGTCTTCCGCCTCACAAACTGCGCTTGAAAATTAGTGCGCCTGTGATGTTGTTGCGCAATTTGTCGCCCAAACAAGGACTTTGCAATGACACAAGGTTAATTCTTAGAAAGATTGTTGACGGTGATTTGTTGGAAGTGACCATAATGCGTAGCGGCAAAACGACACTGATCCCCAAAATCGATTTAACAAGTGATGGTCAAACCACCGGGTTTAAATGGAATAGGAGGCAGTTCTCCATCCGTCTTGCGTTTGTTGCGACCATTAACAAGTCGCAAGGACAAACTGTCTCTCGTGCCAGGGTTTGGTTGCGCAAACCTGTTTTTGCGCATGGCCAGTTGTATGTTGCTTTATCGCACGTTGGTCATCCCAACAACATTCGTGCTGCGTGGCCCGACAAAAATTTCATCACAAAGAATATTGTTTACCATGAACTTTTACAACGATTTTTTCTCCTTGGTCGTATATATCTCTTTCGGACGAGTTGCCAGGACATGCGCGTCATTTTTTGTATGAGTTCTTTTCTTTTGTCGTATATATCTCTTCCGGCTGATCGGTGTTGAATTTTGGTAAACTTATTTTCTTTTTTTCCCCGTAGGTGAATCTGAACTACACCATACCTATGGGACACGCGCTCAAACGAAAAAGAGGAAACAAACTGTCAATAGCAATACAACTGATGGTGCTCAAAATGTTACATCTAGACAACAAGGGGCCCAGTCAAGGCGACCAAGGAAAAACAAAAAACAAGATACATCGGATAATGAAAATGAACATACTGGTGGTCATGATATTCTGCGCGATGAAGTTGAAGGTGCCCATCAACAAGCGAGCACCCTCGAGGATGCTGAAAAAATGCGTGTTGGCCGTTATAACGATGATTATGATCGGCATGACAAATCTGTGCTTGATTTTTCATTAGGTTTGGTAGGTAAGTCTCCGCTCGATGATGACGAAGATGATAGCGATACGAGTGATTCTCAAGCGATTGATTCTACAGCCAAGTGTAATCGTGTTCCTCAGGAAAATAATCTCGTGGGTTCAACTTCAATTGGTGAGCTAACCCTCCGAAATCATCACAATCTTCAAGATAAATTTGTCACTCATGGAGTTGTTGGAGATGTGCGTGCTCGTGATTCATGTTTGCAATCTTAACGCTCTACACAAAGAAAGAAATCATCCACTGTTGCGGCAACTACAGTTCGTGGGTATGCGAGTTCAGCAATTAATACAACTGATAATGTGTGTTCAGCTGGAATGCTCAAGCGCGCGTTCACTACAAATAAGGAGGAACGACAACCGGTTGTTAGTGAAACGGCAAGTCAGGTTTTGAGAGCGCTGGATGGCATCTGTACACATCAACTTGCACCTCTTCTGTTTCGTGTACGGCTCCCTGGATGTGCACGTGTTCACGATTCGTGTTCGCAATCTCAACACAGTCAACGCGAAAGAGATATTTGCACCACATCACAACCACAAAATTCTTCAACTATTATTGTGGTGCCTCATGATAAGGGTGCACCCACAATGGACACTCCGAATCCACGCGCTTACCTTGGCAAATGGTTCGACGATGCGAAGAAGGTAGGCCTGCAAAAAGTCTTGACGGAGGTGCTTTTTTAACCCGTTTAGACGCCGGTAGATGTAGACTTTTCATAAATAAACCCGTATAGACGCCAGTAGATGTAGACTTTTCATAAATAAAAATTCATTATAGACGCCGGTAGATGTAGACTTTTCATCCCATGAACCCGTATAGACGCCGGTAGATGTAGACTTTTCATAAATAAAAATTCATTATAGGCGCAAAGAACACAAGTCAGGGCCGGCTCGAACTCTTGCCCATAGGTATCCCCTCTGTTTGTCTGTACACTTCCCCCCGGGCACACGTATACGTATGCCTGAGACTATACGCTACAAAATCTCGGATCATAACAAAACTGACCCGTATCCATCCAATTTCTCCATTAGCATGTCCGAACGTGCATCCTTTTCCTCTGGTGTTAACCCGAATCCTGTCAAATCCCTTAGTCCCAAAAAGTTCAGTTATCCATTCGACAGCCTGCATAATTGACACATGGGGTAGCTTAGAGAACATATCTTTAATATCGTATGCGGCCCGTTGCACTACGGGGGAAGAGATCCGCTCGATAGAGGACTTTACATGACCTATTCTCTCCTTGATCAGTGACGTAGTCTTCATATTGAAGTGAGAGGGAGAAGGTAATTTTCAAAGTAAGCCATTAATAACCTTACCCACGATAGTATCCACCCGGTTAGCAGGATCAAAGAAGGCCGGGCAAATGGGACGCCAACGTTGAGTGTCTTTATGTTTCGGGACTACGTAGCAGTTCCCAATACTACCTTGTTTTCTCCAGCTAAACAGTGTGTGAAAGCCCCCAGAGACGAATTCAGTATAATACCGTTCCATCACCTTATCCATTCTAGGGGAGGTTCTTTCATTACTGCAGAACAGACTACATATGGCCCCTTGGTATACAACCGCACAGCAAAAGAAGAAATCGCCAGAATTGTGGTCGATGGGAGAGCAAACAAGATTTTCAAATTTATGTTGAAGATGAAGAATATAATCGAGAGATAGGTATTGGGACCCACGAACCTCCTGGTATTGAAGCGGTCGTAGATTCGATGATTAGAGATAATATGATTCAGGCCAATTAGGGAGAAGGCAAGAAAAATAGACTGTCGGAGCATCCTAGCAGTTGTTGGTGTGTAAGAACAAGGGATATTTCGACTGTTATAAAGAAAGAGAGTGGGAGATCCGAAATATCTGATAACCGAAAGCCAACATGACCACCAAAACCTGTTGAAAAACTAATTTTATTCTTGGAGCAAGAACAATCCAAAGATTCATTTCTAGCAAACAGTCGGTGATTGACCAAATAATCCTGGATAGACTTCCGTTTCTGGAAAACGATTCTGATCCGTTTCACAAAAAAGTTGGTCACTTTATCATTCTTGATATTCAGAGTTAGCAACTCTTTACACAACTCCAATACTCTTTGTTTACAAACGGAAGGATCTAAAAGAATTTTGACGGTAATCGTAGATCTAAACCTAAACCCGATATTTCGGGATATCGCACTTGTCAGAATACCTTTGAGAATGACACGATGCCTCAAGTCTTCGATCAATCGAACATGCGAATACAGATCAAGTAACTCGTCACACGTGAGAAGGTGTAACTCTTTTGGAGTTTGCGGGGCCCGAAGGTAGCCTATTAAATTGGCCTTCTTTTGTTTGCAAACATGGAATCGTGGTCGAAAAAAGGAAATGTTAACAACTGCGTCGTTCTCAAGCAACTGCCTTGTTCTCCGAAGAAATTTGCGGTCCTTACTGATACTAATAATAGTGTTCCCAAAGAGGCGTCTGACAACCGACCACCTGTCGAGCCACCAATTACCTTGAGTACTAATTAATACGCCCCGTCTGATCCCTAAATAATGTGCCTGTAATAATACCTTAACCAATGAGAATCCTTGTGAAACACTATTCCCGATACTTTCACAAAATTCGAACTGGATCAACGTACTCGGTCTACAAACTGGGTCACTTGGTCGTTCGGATCTTCTGCGTTGTCTCTTACCAGGCCTCGTACGTTTACTCCTATGAAATTTCCTCTTGGTATTCAAAGAAGGACACCATCGTCTGATCAGACTTTGTTCCACTGCCTCTAGTTCCTCCCTTCGAGCGGAGACTAATGGAAGAGCGATATAAGAATCCCAACCGTTCGTTTTTAACCAAGATTTCAATTTATGATTCCTCCCATCACGTTAAGTCCATCTCTCATCTAATGACCGCTGAGTTTTACCTATATAGCAAGCCCTGTGTCAGGGGGATATTAAAATATACGTACAACAATCAAACTTGGACCAATCATGTTCCCTACGTAACCACTCAATCCAATCATCCTGAAACTTATTAAGCCATGGAAAAATTCCACAAAAAATAAAAAACAACATAACCCGTCGTAACAAGAGTTCGGATTGTTTCCAGCGCCTCCTATCTTGCAATCGCAAAAAATTCCTTACCCGGATTACCTTCCCCAATAAGCTCATCATAAAAAGACGATCCGAAGAAGCCGTGGCTAGGACGGCACCGCATGCACGTCCCGAGCAGCCGGCTCGTTGCCAGGTCCAAAGGCGATCATGGCTCGAATCTCAGCCAGTTCAGCTACCGTAGTTTGCTTGGTAACATAAGTGATGTCGTCTTTCTTGCAGAGTTCCTGTAACTCCTGTTTGGTCATCCGCATGAGGATTTTCTGCCAATCGTCTTTGTAGCGTTCCCTGGCACCTGGTCCAGTGCCTGCGACGACAACTTTCTTCCCTTGAAGAATCCTATCGAAGCCCAGTCCAGAGCACAACCCGTGATGGGGAGCAGACTGAGCTCCTCGTTCCTCCTGGGCAGCTGACGCAAAGATTTGCTACAGCGATGCTGTTCGTGGTTGATTCCCAGAAACTCGATTACGGAGAGCGGACGCGGGAAAAGCATCAGAAGGGGGAGCTGGGGTAGGGCCGGGTGGTGTTGGAGTAGGGGCTGATGACGGAGGGGCCCGTAAAGTAGTGGCGAGAGGTGGGCGCGGGGGAGCATTAGAAGAGACTGGTGGAGGATGGGGAGGGGGAGATGGTGGGGGGGTGGGGTCAGAGACTGTTGGACGAGCCAGGGTGGGCACTGGTTGACGGGACGTAGTAGGAACAGAGGGAATGGGAACAGGACGTCTGATAGGGGTGAATCTCAGATGTGACAAGGGTTGTGGTGGAGTCATTGGTGATGACGGAGGGGGAGTCGGAGGGGGAGGGGGATGGGGGATAGGATGGTGCGTTGGAACAGAAGCGCGCCCAGTCTTGATCTCTGTGATGTCCTGACAGATTCGTTTCAATACCCCTTCGGCCTTGTCTCGAAAACGTCGAAGGTTATCCATCTCCATTGCCATCAATCCGATTGTCAGTCCGTCCGGACCGTCTACCTTCTGTTTGCCTTTGGCGGGTTCCGGGGGCGATCCCTTCGTCTCCATGGTCTTCCTCTTCTCGTTCTCCAGTGTAGATAGCCGGCCCTCAATCTCCTTCTGTCTGTCGAGATTCAAGTTCCCTCGACCAATGTTCTCAATTTCCACCCATATCTTCTTGTTGTCTTCGCTGATCTTGGTCAACAACTCTATCCCGGACAATGACCCTTGGTCCTTGTTAGAGATAGCAGAGTCAATGAACTCCTTCATTCTCTGCTCCTTCTCGACCGCCTTCCTTTCTTTCTCCAACTTCGTCTTCTCTTCTTCCTCAGCCATCCGCTTATCTTGTTCTGCCTTCTCTTTCTCATCGGCTTCCTTCTTACGTCGTTCTTTCTCTTCCCTTCTCTCACTCACCAACTCCATCAGAAGCGCTGACATGTCCGGATCTCGTTGGTAGACCAGGTTACGCGGTCTATCGTTCCTCCAACTCTGCGGATTGTTAGTGCCAGCGTAGCCACCGTTCGTAACTCCAGAGGACGAACTTGAGGATGGCGCAGTGGAGGTGACAGGGGGTGGGATAGTAGGACGTAGAGCATTAGAAGTGGTAGGAGCCGGTTATAAAGGAGGTCTGGAGGAGGTGGAAGGATGACTAGCACGCACTTGAGCAACGATGGGGCAGTCCCTAACCCAGTGGCTATAGCCGCCACAGGCTAAACAAGGCTTCGAAATGGGAGGCGGATTCCCGTAGTTCGCCACCGATGTAATCCTCTTAACTATCGCTCTACAACGCCAAACGAAAAACAAACCCACAAATATCCCAATAATCATCCGACAAGATTCAGAGGACGATACCTGTATGTCATAAAGGCCAAAGCCCGCAGTTATTAATCGAACCTACGTCGCAAGGAAACTGACTGCCCACCAGGAGAAGTCAATACTTAACAGGTTAGCAATCTACTTCATGTTGTGAATGGTCAACAAAAGGCATTACAAACCAACACGGGACTCCATGTATCGACTCGACGTCAAACAGAATAGGTGGGAGAGACACCATAGACAAAAAGTGGTCAAGGTCGTAAACTTGATAAAAATTGAAGCGCATCGAAGGCATATCGAAAAAAGTCGCAGCTATAGCGGCGCAGACAAGACGTTACCACACTCAGCCTTCTTCTGGCGATTCCCGACACGTGTTTCGACCGATGCCAGAAAAATCGGTCATCCTCAGGGGAGGATCAACCTTGACGGAGATGAAGAACTCGTTGCTTTGATTCCCTATATACTAAACTTGAGCTGGTGTTCACTGGCCAGCTCACTATTTCGGAACGATTACCCTAGAGTTATCTAGAAGTCTTAGGACAGTCTCGAGAGTCGGAGTGGATGTAGACAAAGGTTCCTAGTTAGGTGCACAAGATAGTTGTAGAAGAGATGTCGTAAGAGTAACAAGGAAGGAAGGCCCGACTATCGGGTCCAAGTCCCAATATAGCCGCCAAGGGCAAAAAGAAAAGGTTACCCTAGGTAAAGGGTTCGAGTCCAGTTCCAGGCGGTAGGAAAGGCTGCAGAAAAGGAGAAAAGACAGGGAATTGAGGAAAGGAAGGGTCGAGAAAGGAAAAACGTGTTTGAAAAAAGTTGAAAGAGGGGGTAGATAAGGAGAGGGGTAGAGAAAGGGGTGGAAAAAAGGACGGGGCCCTCCGATAACCGGTATTTATCGCTTAATTCTTGAGTCTCGAAAACGTAGGCCCATGCCTTCCAGGTCATCGGTTTACCTTTAACGAAATGTGATAGAGCCCTTTTGAAGCAATCAGTGAGGTAGTTGCAAATCCTAAGCTCTGTTTGAAAAGCCAATAAAGTAAGCCCAGAAGGTAAAGGGCAGGATAAATGCGAGAAGATTCTATGGAGGTGCACGGTAACGACGCCTTTCTTTGATTGAGCTAGTGAAAAGGACCCATAATCTTGGAGGGATTGAAATGTAAGTTGTTTATGAAGCACCTGAGAATCCTGGTTGCGCATGGTAGCAAAACAACTGACCCGTGGTCTGTCAACTGCCTGCGAGATTGTGATAGTATAACCGATGAATTCCCAACAGTCTTGTCCTTCGCTGGTAGCAAGTAACTTAAGGTTCGAATCGTACGACGAAACGAACTTTTTGAAAATGCCTTTGGCTTCGTACCAGTTTTTCCCTGTATCGTTAAAAACGACGAAAAATGTCACGTCGTCAACTTTTTCGCATTCCATGAACCCGTATAGACGCCAGTAGATGTAGACTTTTCAGGAATAAAAATTAATTATACGCGGAAAGAAGACAAGCCAAGGCCGGGCTCAAACTCTTGCCCATAGGTATCCCCTCTATTTGTCTGTACATTTCCCCCTGGGCACACGTATACGTATGCTTGAGACTATACGCTACAAAATCTTGGATCATAGCAAAACTGACATGTATCCATCCAATTTCTCCATTGGCATGTCCGAACGTGCACCCTTTTCCTCTGGTGTTAACCCGAATCCTGTCAAATCCCTTAGTCCCAAAAAGTTCAGTTATCCATTCGACAGCCTGCATAATTGACACATGGCGTAGCCTAGAGAACATATCTTTAATATCGTATGCGGCCCCTAGCACTACGGGGGAAGAGATCCGCTCGATAGAGGAGTTTACATGACCTATCCTCTCCTTGATCAGTGACATAGCCTTCATATTGAAGTGAGAAGAAGGAGGTAATTTCCAAAGTAAGCCATTAATACCCTTACCTACGATAGAATCCACCCGGTTAGCAGGATCAGAGAAGGCCGGGCAGATGGGGCGCCAGCGTTGAGCGTCTTTATGTTTCGAGATTACGTAGCAGTTTCCAATACTACCTTGTTTTCTCCAGCAAGACAGTGTGTGAAAGTCCCCAGAGACGAATTCAATATAATACCGTTCCATCACCTTATCCATTCCAGGGGAGGTTCTTTCATTACTGCAGAACAGACTATCCATGGCCCCTTCGTATACAACTGGACAGCAAAAGAAGAGATTGCCAGGATTGTGGTCGATGGGAGAGCAAACAAGATTTACAAATTTATGTCCAAGATGAAGAATATAATTGAGAGATAGGTATTGGGACCCACAAACCTCCTAATGATTGAAGCAGTCGTAGATTCGATGATTAGAGATAATAGGATTCAGACCAATTAGGGAGAAGGCGAGAGAAATAGATCATCGGAGCATCCAGCAGTTGTGGGTGTGTTAGAACAAGGGATATTTCGACTGTTATAAAGAGAGGGTGGGAGATCCGGAATATCTGATAACTAAAGGCTAACATGACCACTAAAACCTGTTGAAGAACTAATTCTATTCTTGGAGCAAGAACAACCCAAAGATCCATTTCTAGCAAACAGTCGGTGATTGACCAAATAATCCTGGATAGACTTCCGTTTTTGGAAAACGATTCTGATCCGTTTCACAAAAAAGTTGGTCACTTTATCATTCTTGATCCCCAGAGTTAGCAACTCTTTACACAAATCCAATACTCTTCGTTTACAAACGGAAGGATCAAAAAGAATTTTGACGGTAATCCTAGATCTAAAGCCAAACCCGATATTTCGGGATATCGCCCTTGTCAGAATACCTTTGAGAATGGCACGCAGCCTCAAGTCTTTGATCAATCGAACATGCGAATACAGATCAAGTAACTGGTCACCCGCAAGAAGGTGTAACTCTTTTCGAGTTTGCGGGTCCCGAAGGTAGCCTATTAAATTGGCCTTCTTTTGTTCGCAAACATGAAACCGTGGTCGAAAAAAGAAAATGTTGACAACTGCGTCGTTCTCAAGCAACTGCCTTGCTCTCCGAAGAAATCTGCGGTCCTTACCGATACTAATAATAGTGTTCCCAAAGAGGCATTTGACAATCGACCACCTGTCGAGCCACCAATTACCTTGAGTACTAACTAATACGCCCTGTCTGATCCCTAAATTATGTGCCTGTAATAATACATGAACCAATGAGAATCCTTGTGAAATACTATTCCCGATACTATCACAAAATTCGAACTGGATCAACGTACTCGGTCTACAAACAGGGTCACTCGGTCGTATGGATCTTCTGCGTTGTCTCTTACCAGGCCGCGTACGTTTACTCCTATGAAATTTCCTCTTGATATTCAAAGAAGGACACCATCGTCTGATCAGACTCCGTTCCACTGCCTCTAGTTCTCTCTTCGAGCGGAGACTAATGGAAAAGCGATATAAGAATCCCAACCTTTCTTTTTTAACCAAGATTTCAATTTATGATTTCTCCCATCGGCTCTATCAACTTCATACACATGTTCAGTCCATCTCTCATCTAATGACCGCTAAGTTTTACCTATATAGCAAGCCCTATGCCAGGGGGATACAAAAATATACGTACAACAATCAAACTTGGACCAATCTTCTTCCCTACGTAACCACTGAATCCAATCATTCTTAAACTTATTAAGCCATGGAAAAACTCCACAAAAAATCAAAAACAACATAACCCATCGTAGAAAGAGTTCGCATTGTTTCCAGCGCCTCCTATCCTGAAATCGCAAAAATTTTCTTACCCGGATTACCTTGCCCAGAAAGCTCATCACAAAGAGACGATCCGAAGAAGCCGTGGGTAGGACAGCACTGGATGCACGTCCCGAGCAGCCGGCTCGCTGCCAGGTCCAAAGGCGATCATGGCTCGAATCTCAGCCTGTTCAGCTCCCGTAGTTTGCTTGGTAACATAAGTGATGTCGTCTTTCTTGCAGAGTTCCTGTTACTCCTGTTTGGTCATCCGCATGAGGATTTTCTGCGAATCCTCTTTGTAACGTTCCCTAGCACCTGGTCCAGTGCCTGCGACGACAATTTTTTTCCCTTTGAAGAATTCGATCGAAGCCCAGTCCAAGCACAACCTGTGATGTGGAGCAGACTGAGCTCCTCGTTCCTCCTGCGCAGCTGACGCAAAGATTCGCGACAGCGATGCTGGTCGTGGTTGATTACTAGAGACTCGTTTACAGAGAGCGGATGTGGGAAAAGCAGCAGAAGGGGGAGCTGGGGTAGGGCCGGGTGGTGTTGGAGTAGGGGCTGATGGCGGAGGGCCCTGTGAAGTAGTGGCGAGAGGTGGGCGGGGGGGAGCATTAGAAGAGACGTGTGGAAGGRGGGGGRGGGGGRGGKGGKGGGGGGGTAGGGTCAGAGACTGTTGGACGAGCCGGGGTGGGCACGGGTTGACGGGACGTAGTAGGAACAGAGGGAATGGGAACAGGACGTCTGACAGAGGTGAATCTTAGGGGGGGGGGGGGGGGGGGTAGGGTCAGAGACTGTTGGACGAGCCGGGGTGGGCACGGGTTGACGGGACGTAGTAGGAACAGAGGGAATGGGAACAGGACGTCTGACAGAGGTGAATCTTACATGTGACAAGGGTTGTGGTGGGGTCATTGCTGATGACGGAGGGAGAGGCGGAGGGGGAGGGGGAGGGGGGATAGGATGGTCCGGTGGAACAGAAGCGCGTCCAGTCTTGATCTCGGCGATGTCCTGACAGATTCGTTCCAATACCCCTTCGGCCTTGTCTCGAAAACGTCGGAGGTTATCCATCTCCATTGCCATTAATCCGATTGTCAGTCACTCTGGACCGTCTACCTTCTGTTTGCCTTTGGCAGGTTCCGGAGGCGATCCCTTCGTCTTCATGGTCTTCCTCTTCTCGTTCTCTAGTGCAGACAGCCGTGCCTCGATCTCCTTTTGTCTGTTGAGGTTCACGTTCCCTCGACTAATCTTCTCAATTTCCACCATATCTTCTTGTTGTTTTCGCTGATCTTGGTCAACAACTCGATCCCGGATGATGACCCTTGGTCCTTGTTAGAAATAGCAGAGTCAATGATCTCCCTCATTCTCTGCTCCTTCTCGACCGCCTTCCTTTCTTTCTCCAACTTCTTCTTCTCTTCTTCCTCAGCCATCCGCTTATCATGTTCTGCCTTCTCTTTCTTATTGGCTTTCTTCTTACGTCGTTCTTTCTCTTCCCTTCTCTCACTCACCAACTCCATCAGAAGCGCTGACATGTCCGGATTTTGTTGGTAGACCAGGTTACACGGTCTATCATTCCTCCAACTCTGCGGATTGTTAGTGCCAGCGTAGCCACCGTTCGTAACTCCAGAGGACGAACTTGAGGATGGCGCTGTGGAGGTGACATGAGGTGGGATAGTAGGACGTAGAGAAATAGAAGTGGTAAGAGCCGGTAATAAAGGAGGTCTGGAGGAGGTGAAAGGATGACTAGCACGCAGTTGAGCAACAATGGGACAGTCCCTAACCCAGTGGCTATAGTCGCCACAGGCCAAACAAGGCTTCGAAATGGGAGGCGGATTCCCGTAGTTCAGCATCGATGTAATCCTCTTAACTATCACTCTACAAAGCCAAACGAAAAACAAACCCACAAATATCCCAATAATCATCCGACAAGATTTAGAGGACGACACCCATATGTCATAAAGGCCAAAGCCCACCATTATTAGTCGAACCTACGTCGCAAGGAAACTGACTGCCCACCAGGAGAAGTCAATACTTAACAGGTTAGCAATCTATTTCATGTTGTGAATGGTCAACCAGAGGCATTACGGACCAATACAGGACTCCATGCATCGATGCGACGTCAAACAGAATAGGTGGGAGAGACACCATAGACAAAAGGTGGTCAAGGTCGTAAACTTGATAAAAATTGAAGCGCATCGAATGCAGATCGAAAAAAGTCGCAGCTATAGCGCCGCAGACAAGAAGTTACCACACTCAGCCTTCTTCTGGCGATTCCCGACATGTGTTTCGATCGATGCCAGAAAAATCGGTCATCCTCAGGGGAGGATCAGCCTTGACGGAGATGAAGAACTCGTTGCTTTGATTCCCTATATACTAAACTTGAGCTGGTGTTCACTGGCCAGCTCAATGTTCCGAAACGATTACCCTAGAGTTATCTAGAAGTCTTAGGACAGTCAGGAGAGTCGGAGTGGATGTAGACCTAGTTAAGTGCACGGTCTAGTTGTAGAAGAGATGTCGTAAGAGTAACAAGGAAGGAAGGCCCGACTATCGGGTCCAGGTCCCAATATAGCCGCCAAGGGAAAAAAGAAAAGGTTACCCTCGGTAAAGGGTTCGAGTCCAGTTCCAGGCGGTAGGAAAGGCTGCAGAAAAGGAGACAAGACAGGGAATTGACGAAAAGAAGAGTCGAGAAAGGAAAAACGTGTTTGAAAAAAGTTCAAAGAAGGGGTAGAGAAAGAGAGGGGTAGAGAAAGGGGTGGAAAAAAGGACAGGGCCCTACGATAATTGGTATTTATCGCTTAATTCGTGAGTCTCGAAAATGTAGACCCATGCCTTCCAGGCCATCGGTTTACCTTTAACGAAATGTGATAGAGCCCTTTTGAAGCAATCAGTGGGGTAGTTGCAAATCCTAAGCTCTGTTTGAAAAGTCAATAAAGTAAGCCCAGAAGATAAAGGGCAGGATGAAAGCGAGAAGATTGGATGGAGGTGCCCGGTAACGATGACTTTCTTAGATTGAACTGGTGAAAAGGACCCATAATCTTGGAGGGATTGAAAGATAAGTTGTTTATGAAGCAGCAGAGCATCCTGGTTGCGCATAGTAGCAAAACAACTGACCTGTGGTCTGTCAGCTGCCTGCGAGATCTTGATAGTACAACTGATGAATTTCCAACAGTCTTGTCCTTCACTGGTAGCAAGTAACTTAAGGTTCAAATCGTATGACGAAACGAACTTTTTGAAAATGTCTTTGGCTTCGTACCTGTTTTTCCCTGTATCGTTAAAAACGACGAAAAACGTCACGTCGTCATTTATGCGCATCCCATGAACCCGTATAGACGCCAGTAGATGTAGACTTTTCAGAAATAAAACTTCATGATAGGCGCAAAGAAGACAAGTCAGGGTCGGGCTCGAACTCTTGCTCAGAGGTATCCCCTCTTTTTGTCTGTACACTTCCCCTCGGGCACACGTATACGTATGCTTGAGAGTATACGCTACAAAATCTCGGATCATATTAAAACTGACCCGTATCCACCCAATTTCTCCATTGGCATGTCCGAATATGCACCCTTTTCCTCTGGTGTTAACCCGAATCCTATCAAATCCCTTAGTCCCAAAAAGTTCAGTTATCCATTCGACAGCCTGCATAATTGACACATGAGGTAGCTTAGAGAACATATCTTTAATATTGTATGCGCCCCCTAGCACTACAGGGGAAGAGATCCGCTCGATAGAGGAGTTTACATGACCTATTCTCTCCTTGATCAGTGAAGTAGCCTTCATATTGAAGTGAGAGGAAGAAGGTAATTTCCAAAGTAAGCCATTAATACCCTTACCCACGATAGTATCCACCCGGTCAGCAGGATCAGAGAAGGTCGGGCATATGGGGCGTCAGTGTTGAGTGTCTTTATGTTTCGGGATTTCGTAGTTGTTCCCAATACTACCTTATTTTCACCAGCTAGACAGTGTGTCAAAGCCCCCAGAGACGAATTCAGTATAATACCGTTCCATCACCTTATCCATTCCAGGGGAGGTTCTTTCATGACTGCAGAACAGACTATCCATAGCCCCTTGGTATACAACCAGACAACAAAAGAAGAGATCGCCAGGATTGTGGTCGATGGGAGAGCAAACAAGATTTCCAAATTTATGTCGAAGATGAATAATATAATCGAGATATAGATATTGGGACCCACAAACCTCCTGATGATTGAAGCAGTCGTAGATTCGATGATTAGAGATAATAGAATTGAGGCCAATTAGGGAGAAGGCGAGAGAAATAGACGGTTGGAGCATCTTAGCAGTTGTGGGTGTGTCAGAACAAGGGATATTTCGACTGTTATAAAGAGAGGGTGGGAGATCCGGAATATCAGATAACCGAAAGCCAACATGACCACCAAAACCTGTTGAAAAACTAATTCTATTCTTGGAGCAAGAATAATCCAAAGATCCATTTCTAGCAAACACTCGCTGATTGACCAAATAATCCTTGATAGACTTATATTTCTAGAAAATGATTCTGATCCATTTTACAAAAAAGTTGGTTACTTTATCACTCTTGATCTCTAGAGTCAGCAACTCTTTACACAACTCCAATACTCTTCATTTACAAACGAAAGGATCAAAAAAAAATTTTGACGGTAATCCTAGATTTAAACCCAAACTAGATATTTCGGGATATCACCCTTGTCGGAATACCTTTGACAATGGCACACTGCCTCAAGTCTTCGATCAATCGAACATGCAAATACAGATAAAGTAACTGGTCACACGTGAGAAGGTGTAACTCTTTACAAGTTTGCGGGGCCCGAAGGTAGCCTATAAAATTGGCCTTCTTTTGTTCGCAAACATGGAACCGTGGTCGAAAAAAGGAAATGTTGACAACTGCGCCGTTCTCAAACAACTGCCTTGTTCTCCGAAGAAATCTGCGGTCCTTACCGATACTAATAATAGTGTTCCAAAAGAGGCGTTTGACAATCGACCACCTGTCAAACCACCAATTAACCATAGTACTAACTAATACGCCCTGTCTGATCCCTAAATTATGTGCCTGTAATAATACCTGAACCAATTAGTATCCTTGTGAAACACTATTCCCGATACTATCACAAAATTCGAACTCGATCAACCTACTCGGTCTACAAATTGGGTCACTTGGTCGTTCGGATCTTCTGCGTTCTCTCTTACCAGGCCGCATTCGTTTACTCCTATGAAATTTCCTCTTGGTATTCAAAGAAGGACACCATCGTTTGATCAGACTTCGTTCCACTGCCTCTTGTTCCTCCCTTCGAGCAGAGACTAATGGAAGAGCGATATAAGAATCCCAACCTTTCTTTTTAAACCAAGATTTCAATTTATGATTCCTTCCATCGGCTCTATCAACCCCATACACATGTTCAGTCCATCTCTCATCTAATGACCGCGGAGGTTTACCTATATAGCAAGCCCTATGCTAGGGGGATACTAAAATATACGTACAACAATCAAACTTGGACCAATCTTGTTCCCTACGTAACCACTCAATCCAATCATCCTGAAACCTATTAAACCATGGAAAAACTCCACAAAAAATAAAAACAACATAACCCATCGTTACAAGAGTTCGCATTGCTTCCACCGCCTCCTATCCGGAGATCGCAAAAATTTTCTTACCCGGATTACCTCCTCCAGAAAGCTCATCATAAAGAGACGATCCGAAGAAGCCGTGGCTAGGACGGCACCGGATGCACGTCCCGAGCAGCCGGCTCGCTGCCAGGTCCAAAGGCGATCATGGCTCGAATCTCAGCCACTTCAGCTGCCGTAGTTTGCTTGGTAACATAAGTGATGTCGTCTTTCTTACAGAGTTCCTGTAACTCCTGTTTGGTCATCCGCACGAGGATTTTCTGCAAATCCTCTTTGTAACGTTCCCTGGCACCTGGTCCAGTGTCTGCGACGACAACTTTCTTCCCTTGAAGAATCCGATCGAAGCCCTGTCCAGAGCACAACCCATGATGTGGAGCAGACTGAGCTCCTCATTCCTCCTGCGCAGCTGACGCAAAGATTCGCGACAGCGATGCTATTCGTGGTTGATTACTAGAGACTCGATTACGGAGAGCGGAGGCGGGAAAAGCAGCAGAAGGGGGAGCTGGGGTAGGGCCGGATGGTGTTGGAGTAGGGGCTGATGACGGAGGGACCCGTGAAGTAGTGGCGAGAGGTGGGCGCGGGGGAGCATTAGAAGAGACAGGKGGRGGRGGGGGRGGGGGAGGKGGTGGGGGGGTAGGGTCAGAGACTGTTGGACGAGCCGGGGTGGGCACGGGTTGACGGGACGTAGTAGGAACAGAGGGAATAGGAGCAGGACGTCTAACAGGGGTGAATCTCAGATGTGACGGGGGTTGTGGTGGGGTCATTGGTGATGACGGAGGGGGAGGTGGAGGTGGAGGTGGATGGGGGATAGGATGGTGCGGTGGAACAGAAGCGCGTCCAGTCTTGATCTCGGCGATGTCCAAACAGATTTGTTCCAATACCCCTTCGGCCTTGCCTCGAAAACATCAGAGGTTATCCATCTTCATTGCCATCAATCCGATTGTCCGTCCGTCCGGACCGTCTACCTTCTGTTTGCCTTTGGCTTGAAAGTTTAAAAGCATTTACCTGAGGTCATAGAGAACTAAAAAAAAAACATTAAAAAAAAAAAGTATTTTTAGGCTCCAAAATATTTTTTGGCGGGGGCCGAACGCCGTTGGGTTCGGACCCCGTACGGGACCCCGAACGCCGTACGTACGAAGGTCTCGCAGGGGACCTCTGCACGTACGGGCTGGTTACCCTGTATATATATATATATATATATACAGGGTTACCTGACCGAACGTTCGGGGGCCCCTGGGCTGGCCCCCGAACATTCGGGCGTTCGGGGTCCCGTTCGGGGGCCGAACACCTCCAGGTTCGGCCCCCGCCAAAAAATGTTTCGGGGCCTAAAAATTAGTTATTTTTTCTTAGTTGTTTTTTTTGAGTTCTCTATGATGTAATCTACACAGCAATAAATTTTGAAGCCATTCTGCTAAGCCACAAAAACAATAAAGATCGTCAAAGATGGGGGTGTCAAAACGTGCTCGCCCACTAACTATTTTGTTTTTTTTTACTTTTAACTTTTTGTTTTCACTTTATTTCGGGTGTTACGGACTTCGCCAGGGCTCGATCTTTGGTCTATCTTTTGCTGTTTCGATTGCATCCCGTTTTCGGCTTGGCATCCTTTTTCCAAACCCCTCCTTTGGTACCGTAGGATTTTGGACAACTGGCGCCATGCTGCAATTCGGGCGCCACTTTCAAATACTGCATTTTTCAGTTCTTCCCTCGGGGCCTTTGCAGAAATGCCCCTGGTACCGTACGTGTCACCGGTACTTATGCCGGCTCCCCGTACGGTACGGGGACCAGTCTCGTGCCACTTCTCTGCTACTGTACTCGTACTCAGTGTGACTTGCCGTTTCGGATTTGGGAATCCAAGACTTCGACTTTGTGCCTTGCCACTGTGTCTGCGTCCAACCCTCAGTCCGAGTCCGTCGTGTCGAGTGAGTGAGTGTGTGTGTGTGCTCTCACTCTCTCCCTCGCTCTCTCCTCTCCCTCGGCTCACCCTCAGCCTCACTCCCGTTACACTGGTATCGGAGCGGTTCGAACCCTTCCAACCCACCCAGCTTCGACGTCCCGACCCACCCTGCTTCGACGTCGTCACCTGGCCATCATCAACATCATCGTCGAGATCGTCGCCGCCGTGCCACGTCATCATCGTCATCATCGTGATCATCGTCATTGTGCCCCGTCATCATCCTCACCGACGGGATCGCCGCCGTTGCGCCACGTCATCATCACCATGCCTCTCGTCCTTGTCGCTGCGCCGCGCCGTCCTTGTCATTGCCGTCGCGCAGATAAGTAATCAAGGACAATTTTTTTTATTTTTTTTTTTCTCCTTATTTTTCTTCCTCACTTCTTTTCTTCTTCTTCTCATCATCATTTTCTTCTTCTTCCTTTTTTTTCTTCTTCTTCTTTAAATTTTCTTCTTCTTCTTCTTCTTCTTCTTCTTCTTCTTCTTCTTCTTCTTCTTCTTCTTCTTCTTCTTCTTCTTCTTC